TACTTTTTTTCTTTGTCATTTTCAATTCTCTTGCTTGTTTTTATGCCTTTCTTCATTGCCTCTTGCTTTCATTTCAGTCTATTTTCCCTTAGGTATCTTAAAATTTATTCGCTTACGAAGTAATTGTCTTTTCTTCCATTTCTTTCCTGCGTTTCATCAACTCTTTTCATTTCTCCTTTAGTCATCATTTCCATTCTTATTAATAGTTTTAAAAATTCTAAGCCAGCCGGGCGTGGTGGCTCATGCCTGTAATCCCAGCACTTTGGGAGGCCGAGGTGGGTGGATCACGAGTTCAGGAGATCGAGACCATCCTGGCTAACACGGTGAAACCTCATCTCTACTGAAAATACAAAAAATTAGCAGGGCGTGGTGGTAGGCGCCTGTAGTCCCAGCTACTCGGGAGGCTGAGGCAGGAGAATGGCGCTGAGATCGCGCCACTGCACTCCAGCCTGGGTGACAGAGCAAGACTCCGTCTCAAAAAAAAAAAAAAAATTTCTAGGCCAAGGTAAACATTTTTATACCCTCAAATGCTTATCTGAGTATATTCAATTCTGTGTGAAGTGTAGACTTATAGGTTTTCTTGTTTCTTCATTGTTTTCTGGGTGGAAGCAGGTAGTCTCCAAAGTTGATTTGTATAAACAGTTACAGTTATTTCCTCATTATCTACAATAAGCTCTCTTTAAATTTTATTTCCTCTTGCTCATTTTTGTAATATCTGGGGTATAGTGATAGTTTACAAGATTCCCAGTTTGACGGTGCTCATTTCTGTCATTCTAGTCAACCTCAGATATATGAGAGTTGTTTGAGTGGTTTTTTTTTTGGAGACAGAGTCTCGCTCTGTCACCCAGGCTAGAGTGCAATGGCGTGATCTCAGCTCACTGCAACCTCCACCTCCCGGGTTCAAGTGATTCTCCTGCCTCAGCCTCCCAGGTAGCTGGGACTACAGGCACGTGCTACCATGCCCAGCTAATGTTCGTATTTTTAGTAGAGGTGGAGGTTTCACCATATTGGCCAGGCTGGTCTTGAACTCCTGACCTCAAGTGATCTGCCCTGTTTGAGTTTTTTTAAAAAGTCATTTGTGGTTGGTTTGGCGGGATAAGAGTTTTGAGTTCTCTAATTTCATGGTTCTTTTTTTTTTTTTTTTTTTTGCAGGACTCTAAAGTTCCCTTTTTTAGCCTTTAAACAGTACATTCTGGACCTGTAAACAGTACTTTCTTGGTCACAAAAGTGAGGGGGATGGGCAGAATAATCTAAAATTTCTATTGTATTAAAAGTAATGTTGCTGAAGGGCTGGGCACGGTGGCTCACGCCTGTAATACCAGCCCTTTGGGGCAAGGCGGGCAGATCACTTAAGGTGAGGAGTTCGAGACTAGCCCGGTCAAAACGGTGAAACCCCATCTCTACTAAAAATATAAAAAATTAGCCAGGCATGGTGGCACATGCCGGTAATCCCAGCTTCTTGGGAGGCTAAGGCAGAAGAATCGCTTGAGCCCAGGAGGCAGAAGTTGCAGTGAGCAGAGATTGAGCCACTGCACTCTAGCCTGGGCGATAGAGTGAGTGAGACTCTTTTTAAAAAAAAAAAAAGGAATGCTGCTGAAGCTTTTGGAATGACAAGTAAGTTTTAGCAGCACCCATGTATTAACAATTTTCTCTCCTATTCCTAGGAATTAAAACCTTCCAACTAAGAAGTCAAAAAAAATTTCAAAACTGCTGAAGCTATGCTATAGATTAAGGGAACAACAAGTATCAAGGAAGAATCAGTATCTACCAACTACCCTTTGTCTCTCACATGCATAAAATGAGCTCTATCATTCAATGTAGGAAAGAAAAAGTACCAGAAATTTATTTTATGTCATAATAAAGAGATGATGTACTTATGTTTTATTTTTATAATAGAATAATGTTAAATTACTGGTGAGGAGAAGGAAGGTTCAGAGAACAATAAAGTATAAAAACACAAATTTAGGCTTTTGCCACAAGTCTTAATTTTTTTTGGCAGGACCATTAAGGTTAACAATGGTCATGTATTAAATACACTAGCTTCACAGTATATCAAAATAACCCCAGTTGAAGAATACTGTACTGATTTACATTAGATTATATATAATTTTACCCACAAATCCTGTTTGGAGGGACTAGAAGATAACCAGAGAGATCTAGTTGACCTAGTAGTGCAAAGTAGTCATGAGAAGCAATGTTTAAGTAGTCTTAAAATTACTATTTAACATGGCTTAACAAAATTACTATAAATCAATTAATGTGTTAACTATAGCAAAAAGAGTCTGCTTTAATATGATTATCATCAACGTTCTTTTTTCAGTCTATCTCAGAAATCACTTCCTGAGTCTTCTGAAAGTTTCATTTATTCCACTCATTCTACAAATATTTGTTAGTGTTAGCTAAAGGATTATGGACTCCATTTAGGTCCTCTTGTATGCTCATGTTATATCTGCCACACTCACTGCTATATTACCAATTCCTAGAACAGTGAGTGCGGCAGATATAACTTAAGGAACTTTCAAGTGTAGCTAAAAAGACAGAAAATTAAACACGTATATTACAGATGTGATGAGCATTTCATTAGGGAAGCATGGGGTGCTACATAAGCATACAAGAGGACCTAAATGGAGTCCGTAATCCTTTAGCTAACACTTGCAGGATGAGTAGAAGTCAGCAGGGTCAGGAGATAAGCAAGAATGACTGTTCTGGGCAAAAGCCTGGAGTGAGAGAGCACTTTCCAGGAACTGAAACACAGTGCAGTGTGGCTGTTAACACTGCAGAGAGAAAGCTGAAAAAAATCAGCAAGGTCAGCCAGGCACGGTGGCTCACGTCTGTAATCCCAACACTTCGGGAGGCCGAGGTGGGCAGATCACGTGAGGTTGCAAGTTTGAGACCAGCCTGACCAACATGGAGAAACCCTATCCCTACTAAAAATACAAAATTAGCCAGGCATGGTGGCGCATGCCTGTAATCCCAGCTACTTGGGAGGCTGAGGCAGGAGAATCACTTGAACCCAGGAGGCGGAGGCTGCCGTGAGTGGAGATCGGGCCATTGCACTCAGGCCTGGGCAACAAGAGCAAAACTCTATCTCAAAAACAAAACAAAATGAAAACAGCAAGGTCCATTCCTTAGAGGCCTTTGTGAGCCACTACAGACTCAGGACTTCAGCCTAAGGGACATCAAAAGGTTTTAGGCAAGGGAGTAACAATCAGATGTGCATTTTAGACAAATACAACTAATCAATCAATAGTTACAGAGCACGAATTGGAGTAAGGCAGTATAGTGGCTCTGAGAACAATACATAGATGGGAGTCTGGACTCTCATTGAGCCTTCAAGGACTTTAGAAATGGCAGAGTTTAAGGCAGTACAAATGTACGTGTTTCCTAAGGGAAAGATGGGTTGTGGTAATCTGGAAAGGAATCTTTAGGTTTTTAAAGAAGTTGGTATGGGCCAGGTGTGGTGGGGCTCAGGCATGTAATCCTAGCACTTTGGGAGGCCAAGGTGGGCGGATCACTTGAGGTCAGGAGTTGAAACCAGCCTGGCCATCACGGTGAAACCAGTCTGTACTAAAAATGCAAAAAAGTTAGCCAGCCCAGGTGGCGGGCGCCTGTAATTCCAGCTACTCCGGAGGCTGAGGAAGGAGAATCACTTGAACCCGGAGGCAGAGATTGCAATGAGCAGAGATCACGCCACTGCACTCCACCCTGGGCAACAGAGTGAGACTCCATCTCAAAAAATAACATAATATAACATAACATAACAAAACATAACATAACATAAGTGGTATGTTTCAGATGGGAGAGAGGCCGCATGCATCCTGAGCCATCTGAAAGTGGTTGAAAATAAATCTGGAAAGGCAGATTTGGGATACATATGGAAGGCTTCAAATGTCTAGCTAAGGAGTTTGAAATTTTTCCATATAGGAGGTGTAGGGCCATAGACCATTTTTAAGCAAAATACATGCTCAGGCGATAATGGATAAATCAGTGGGAGAAACGACTGTACTTAGCAAAGACAGTTAAGAACCTTGCATAGCGCTCCAGGTGTTGCTGCTGTAAAAGTTAGCAGTAGGGACCAGGGGAACAGATTTGGCAGTTATTATGAAAGAAAACCCAAGTAGAGTTGAAATGACTGCCTGAATATTTGAGGGGGATAATATCAGAGGATCAAGAACGACAGAACATAGCTGAGGTGGTATGAAATAAGTGGACTATAAACTGGAAATTATAAATTTCACTATTACATGCACAATTTCTCTATATTATCATACAACAGTGCCTCTCAAAGAGTGGTAGGCAGACCAGAATTCATCTACGACCTATTTGTTAACCAATCTGTACAGAAAAAGCGATTAAGCATTTAGAAACTTCCATTATCGGTTGACAGTATTTTTATGTCTGTTGAATTTAATTAAAAATTTGAACTTACATTGTGTTTGTCTTTTTTAATTCCATTTTTCTAGCAATTCTTTTTGTAGTATTTTATCAAAGTATAAATGTCAAAAATTTAAAATTTTTAAAAACAAAAACTGTCCTTTACCACAAATAGTTTGAGAAACACTATCAGAGTATTTAGCTTGCCCCCCAGATCTAAGTAGATTAACTCTACCTCTATAAACACACATTCAAGAATATTAAAAAATAAACACAAGTTTGAATATGGACTGAATATTACAGATTATGCATTTATGGTTAATTTTCTCAGGTATAATAATACCACGATAATTATGTAGGAGAATGATACTTTTAGAAGCTATATGCTTATGTATTTAAGGGTAAATCATCATGTCTAACTTACTGAATGGGGGATAGCAAAATGAAAAAACACACAGCAGGCATCCCATACACACGGCTAAAGTAAATATGGTCAAATGTTAAGAACAGCTGAATTTAGGGGGTGCGTATACAGATAACAATCAACACTGTACTTTCAACTTTTCAAAACATAATGTTGAAAAAATGATTAAATAAATACGTCATAAAAACCAAGTCCTCCATACCCCAAAGTCACCAGGTCAGTATTCTCTGGAATGACTTCAGGATCCTCACCGTCCTCAAGGCATTTCAGTTTATCAAGGCTAAAACAAAAAGGAAAAGCAATACTTTAAGGTCGACTCTGCATCTGGTTCACAGCGAGTTAGGGTTGTTTTCCTAAATACATTACTGAATTACGAAGTCAGATAAAATCCAGCAGGCGGCTCAGAGAGACCAGAACTTAAGACAAAGATTTCTGTGGTTATATTTTATAATGAAAAGGCCGATGAAGGCAGCCAGTACTGTTAAATGGAGAAAGAGATTAAACTTATTTTTATATTTTCACCCCCAAATAAGGCACTTTTAGGAAAAATTTCAGTAACAGAATACCCAGAAGGTCCCCAAAAGAAACCAGTTAGTCGGGGTTTTAACACTCCTTTGATGAAGTCTCCCGCAGCTTCACCATTACTCAGATTCCTCCACTGTCAAAGTGTCTGTCAATGGCAGGTACACCTCGCTGTTGCCCTGACTGCTATTCTTTATTAACAAGCACTTTTAGAACAAGCAAACAGAAAAACTAGTCTTTGACGCAGCTGTCTTGGCCCTTTGCTCCAACTCGCGGAAACTGGGCATTCGGGTCCCAGGACTTCTCCTGGTGTTCCAGGGAGGCTCCAGCGGGTTGAAAGCTTTGAAAGAGTAATACTCCTAGCGCAGGTCCAAACCACAGGACCTTCTCAGGGATGAGTCCCAGAGGAGCGCAGAAGCAAGGATGCACCCTGTTTGACCCCAAGCTGCAAGAGCCCCTTTGCTCCGCACTCACCCGCACACCGCCCTCAGTTCAGCCGCCGCCTCCAGGCTGCAGTCCAGATCCCCGGCCACCGCGGCATCCTCCCGGTCGGAGTCCGCAATCCCCCGGCTCCCAGGCAGAGCGGACGCCAGCGGCTCCCTCAGCGACAAGTCCCCGGCCCCGCGCAGACGGCCCCGCCACAGCTCCCCAAAGGCGCCCACATGGAAAGCGCGCGTATTTAGCTCGGGAAGCTCATACTCTGGAAAATTGCAGCCGCCACTGCCGGAGACTGGGTCCTGCCTGCCAGCCACCCCGCTACACGTTGGTACACCTCGGCTTCCTTCAGCCATGTTCGCCCCACTCCCTTCCCTGCAAAAGCCTGGAGATCAAGGCCTCGCAGAGCGTGATGGAACTTGTAGTTGCTTGGAGCTCCCGGCCGGCAAGCCACGGGGCGGCAAGGGCGGGGCTTCGGAAACTACATTTCCCGGCAGGCCCACCCCAGGGCGCGGCACCGCGAGGCTCTACGGGCAGGGTGCAGCATTGTTCTCCGACCTGGGCGGGGCGGGAACCGTTGCGGCTGTCGGTTAACGGCAGCGGGTGAGGCTGCGTGTCTGGTGCCCGAGTTACACAGCAACTGCCTCTGCTGGGTAGGGCGGCCTCGCCAGGCGCTTAGGCCCCGCGCCTTGCAGCTCTCGGACCAAGGGGTGCAGGGCTTTTTCTTGACTCTGGATTTCAAGGACTGCTCTGCTGCCTGCTTGCTTTAGAGTCTAAGAAACAAGGAGGGCGAGGGCCGAGACCAGGGACACGATCAGTCCTCCAGATCTGGTTCTTTCAGAACCTCCCCAGAGGCGCCATGTGCGTGTGTGTGTGTGTGCAGTAGTGTTTCAGAGCGTCTGTGTATCACACACTGCACATGATTAACCCTGGTGTATGTTTTTAATGTTTTTAAAAATTACAATGACCTTTCCGGATAGAGAGTATCACCCCGTGATGCTGTTAAGGAAGGAGTTACCTGCGGGGAAAATGGAAGCAGGATCGGAACTCAATCAGTCTGGCTTCAGATGGAGCCCTCTCCATTTCTCAGAGGCCCTAAAGGATACAGCAGGACATACTATTTATTTATTAGGCTATAATCACATGCCGTATAATACACCCATTTGAAGTGTTCAATGCTTTTTAGTATATTAACAGACTTGGGCAACCATCACCACTATTTGAGAACATCTTTTACCACTCCAAAGAAGAAACTTCTGTCTTTTAACTATCACCCCTGATCCTCCCACCTCCTCCAGCCCTAGCCAACCAAGAACCTACTTTCTGTCTCTCTAGATTTAACTAATCTGGACATTTAATATAAATGGAATTATATGGTCTTTTGGTGGCTGGCTTAATATTTGCAAGGTTTGTTACAGGTAGTTAGGCATGAGCAGGGCAGGAGAGGGCTCTTCCCTCACCCACTAGGAATGCATATTGCCTCTAATAGTGATAAATTGGCAGCCGGTGCCGGGGAGAGGCCATTTCCTGATGGCCCACACCTGTTGCACTAAAGTGTTAGTTGAATGCAGATGACAGGGAGAAGCAACTTCTTGGGCATATGCATTAAGAGACAAAATCGGGGAGTATGACCTTCCAAGAGGACTCTATCGGAAAAGGCAAGAAAGCCTCAGATGGGCATGCGTGCAACTGCCTACATACTGCGCTGTGCTCACTTCCCAATGATAAGGAGGGCACTGCACATGCAGGCAGCCCACCCTAAGGGAAGAATCATGGGAAAGGAGCCAGCCTATAAAGTCCTAGGATCAAGGTCAATATCACAGTTGACCTCAGTGATGGCTTGGGACTCTTCCGAGCGTGCTTTCCTTTCTTTCCTATTCTAAAGGCCTTTTAAATAAACTTCCACTCCTGCTCTGAAACTTGCCTTGTCTCTTTTTCTGCCTTATTGCTCCTCAGTCAAATTCTTTCTTCAGAACTCCCGACCTTGTGATCCGCCTGCCTCAGCCTCCCAAAGTGCTGGGATTACCGGCGTGAGCCACCGCCCCCGGGCTTCTGGTTGTTTTGTTGTTGTTGTTTGTTTGAGATAGCGTCTTGCTCTGTCACCGAGACTGTGCACTGGCACAATCGTGGCTCACCGAAGCGTGTCAAGCTAAGTCATTATATCCCCTGTGACCTGCATGTATACATCCAGATAGCCTGAAGTAACTGAAGAACCACAAAAGATGACATTCCACCATTGTGATTTGTTCCTGCCCCACCCTAGCTGATCAATTGACCTTATGACAATACACCTTCCCCGCCCTTGTGATAACATACTTTGTAATATTCTCCCCACCCTTGAGAATGTACTTTGTGAGAGCCACCCCCTGCCCACAAAAAATTGCTCCTAACTCAACCTCTTATCCCAAACATATAAGAACTAATGATAGGCTGGGCGCTGTGGCTCACGCCTGTAATCCCAGCACTTTGGGAGGCTGAGGCAGGCGGATTACAAGGTCGGGAGTTCGAGACCAGTCTAGCCAATATGGTGAAACCCCATCTCTACTGAAAATACAAAAATTAGCTGGGTGTGGTGGCAGATGCCTGTAGTCCCAGCTACTTGGGAGGCTGAGGCAGTAGAATCGCTTGAACCCGGGAGGCAGAAGTTGCAGTGAGCTGAGATTGTGCCATTGCACTCTAGCCTGGGCGACAGAGTGAGACTCTGTCTCAAAAAACAAAAAAAGAAAACAGCTAATGATAATCCCACCACCCTTTGCTGACTCTCTTTTCAGATTCAGCCCGCCTGCACCCAGGTGATTAAAAAGTTTTATTGCTCACACAAAACCTGTTTGGTGGTCTCTTCACACACACGAACGTGACACAGCATAGACCTCCCAAGCTCAGGTGATCCTCCCATCTCAATCTCCTGAGTAGTTGGGACTATAGGTACACTGCCACCACATCCAGCTAATTTTTTTATTTTTTGTAGAGAAGAGGTTTCGCCATATTGCCCAGGCTGGTCTTGAACTCCTGGGTTCAAGTTATCCTCCTGCCTTGGCCTCCCAAATTGTTGGGATTACAGGCATGAGCCACCATGCCCAGCTGGAGCTCTGGTTTTTATCAGTATATCATTGTAGGGAATATCTGTTGTTTTTGTCAGCCTAGTATTGTTTAACAGATCTGACCTTCCCTACTACTTTTGATCCTCCTGTGGCTGCCAGTCACAGAACCATTCCCAGTCTGGCCATAGTGGTTAGTCCAAGGATGAGCGAGTGTCTCAAATACAGCCAATCAGAATTCTGTGGGGTTTTATCTATAAACCAAGAAGCTCTTTATCTGTTCTAAGGACCTAATAATGTGTCCTAGACACAGACTGTTCCTGCCAGTGGAAGAGTCAGAAGGAACAGAGGCAAGAGTTTGAAAAAGCAAAGGCAGAAAATGGAGAAAAGAGAAGTCCAGTGACTTGGAGGTATTGGGGCTGAGGCCATGTGCTCCCTCATATTTGCCATTAGGTAAAAGAGGCAAAATTTTACCGCTACTCTGTTAGGATTTTTCAGCTGGGCCTGAGAATTAAATTGACATAAGACAGAGCAACAGAAGAAAAACGCACAAATTAATTTCATACAAGTGTTATGTGGCGTACGATCCTTCATAAGGAAATGAAGACCCAAAGAAGCAGTTACAATTGAACACTTATAAACTGAATTGGATAAAGAGTAGTGAATTATGAAAATGTGACAAGGCAAAATGTCATGCACATCCGTGTGAACAGACCACCAAACAGGCTTTGTGTTAGCAACATGGCTGTTCATTTCACCTGGGTGAAGGCGGGCTGAGTCCGAAAAGAGAGTCAGCGAAGGGAGATAAGGGTGGGGCCGTTTTATAGGATTTGGATAGGTAATGGAAAATTACAGTCAAAGGGAGGTTGTTCTCTGGCGGGCAGGAGTGGGCACAAGGTGCTCAGTGGGGGAGCTTTTTGAGACAGGATGAGCCAGGCACAAGATAATGTCATCGCTTAAGGCAAGGACTGGCCATTTTCACTTCTTTTGTGGTGGAATGTCATCAGTTAAGGCAAGGACTGGCCATTTTCACTTCTTTTGTGGTGGAATGTCATCAGTTAAGGTGGGGCAGGGCATTTGCACTTGTTTTGTGATTCTTCAGTTACTTCAGGTCATCTGGGTGTATATGTGCAAGTCACAGGGGATGCGATGACTTGGCTTGGACTCGGAGGCCTGACACAAAGCACTCGAAGATAGGGTAGTTAATTGAGTGGAGGAGTGACTAGGAAGATAAGAGTTAGTTTAACAAGGTTGGTTTGTACAGATTTCCCTCAGCCTCAACTTCCTGTCCTTGATGAGAAGAATGATGTTTTCCTTCTGGGTATAGGGAGGATACCTTTTACAAGGGAATTTCATCTCCTGCTTTTAAGAAACAGAAGAAAAGTCAGAGTGAACTCTTTGCACCTGCTGTTTTCCAACTGATACGGCTCAGATGAGTGGAGGAACACCGGGTTTGTTGGTCCTCATGCCGGTTTAGATAAAACAACATGGACACAAGTGGAGTGGTTTTAAGGAGCGGCGAGTTTATTAGGCAAGAAGGAAGGGAGGAGATAGAGGGAAGAAGCTCCCCAGTAGAGAGACAGAGGGAGGCTGGCTCCAAAGGCGAAAGAGGAGGTCCCCACCTGCCGCCGATACCAGCCAGGTATATATACAGAGGCTGGAGAAGGTGATATCTGATTTGCATAGGGCTCAGGGGATTGGTTTGACCAGGCATGTCATTCACGTAGCCCTCGGAAAAAGCTGGCCCTCTCATCCTAGCCTTTTAATATGCAAATACAGGGCACTCTGGATGTTCTACACACGTGGAGATATGTGGGGAGGCCATGTTGCCAGGAACATGTTGGGCAAGGGCAAGAAGTCCGCAGGAATTGCTATATTAGGTGGACCCAGTTTCTAACGGCCTGCATTTGCATATCAAAGGTTGCCAGTCTGGCTCTAAGAGCCCGAGCTTTACAAGAAACTTTTCCGGAGAGGCTTTAAAAACCACAAACTCGGCCGGGCGCGGTGGCTCAAGCCTGTAATCCCAGCACTTTGGGAGGCCAAGACGGGCGGATCACGAGGTCAGGAGATCGAGACCATCCTGGCTAACACGGTGAAACCCCGTCTCTACTAAAAAATACAAAAAACTAGCCGGGCAAGGTGGCGGGTGCCTGTAGTCCCAGCTACTCGGGAGGCTGAGAAAGGAGAATGGCGTAAACCCGGGAGGCGGAGCTTGCAGTGAGCTGAGATCCGGCCACTGCACTCCAGCCTGGGCGACACAGCGAGACTCCGTCTCAAAAAAACAAACAAACAAACAAACAAACAAAAAAAAAACCACAAACTCCCCAGGGACCCCTTCCCCCCGCCCCGCCCCCGCCTAAAATAATTTCTTAATAACTCTTGGCTGGGCGCGGTGGCTCACGCCTGTAATCCCAGCACTTTGGGAGGCCAAGGTGGGTGGATCACAAGGTCAGGGGTTCAAGACCAGCCTAACCAACTTAGTGAAACCCCGTCTCTACTAAAAATACAAAAATTA